CCCTTGTGTTGGGCGCCTAATAGGGCTCCAAAGGGTGGGGCGCTCAAGGGGGCTCCAAAGGGGGCGCCTAGATGAGGAGCACCCATGTGGGAAGCTCCTTGACGCTCAGGGTATGGAGCTCCTCGAGCTTGAGGTTCAAGTTGTGCTCCTCCTTGTCTAGCGAGCATCAGTTGCACGATATGTTGGTTCTGGGCCACAAGTTGCTACATGGTCTCGAGCATCTGCTACACATTTGGGATAAAATTGGTTGGTGGAGGAACAACCTCTTCCTCTCGTGGTGGGGGGGCGGGTTGTCTTCAGGCTAATTCATGGATCTGGTGGTGATCGCCATTGGTTCAGCAAATGAAATGTTTAGAAGTGAGAATTTTGTCGTTCTCAGAGACGACGTCAAACTGATGATGCACAAATTGGGTTTGCACACTACCTATCAAGTATGAGTAATAAATGCAGTAATTAAAGTAGAAAGAAGACGAGAATTATAGTGGTTCGTTCAAAGTGACCGATGTCCACTTTTGAATGACTAGGGTCACTAGGTATTTTATTAACTCAAATGTGCAAGGAGAGCAGAGAGCTACAAGCTGCGAGGGAGAGGAGAGAGTTGTGCTCAACAAAGTGTGATGCCCCCCCCCCCCAAGTGTTGGTGGGGCTTACAATTTATAGTCGGCCCCTGACAGATTGGGGCGACTTAATAGCAACTAAATAACTATTCTGGTGGAAGTCACAACTTCTTCTCAATGGGCGAGGTGAGGTGGTTGAGGTGCTCTCCTTAAGATTTGGTCAAAAATGAGGTGAGGGTTGACTATTTTCAAGGCTGTGAGGGTGAGGCTCCTAGATGCTCTCTTGATGATGTAGCTAAGTTGATGAGTTTTATTGGGTTTGGGCCGCATTGGGCTAGCTGGGACTTGATAAATTTGAGCTCTTGATTATGGTTGGGCTTTCAATATGGAATGGGCCTGCCCATCGAGAATCACTGGGCTCCTTATTTAAAGCTAGTTTTTATCAAGGACGGGATATATTTTCTCTCCATTATTTTTTCATACAATTTCACTCAATAGTAGATCACCAACTGTGTCCACATATAAATAATAGATCCCACGTGAATACATGGTTGATGATTTACCATTGAGTAAAATTGTGTAAAAAAAGTAATAGAGAAGATCTCAATTCTCAAAGACGTGAGCCAACACACTCTGCCCTAGACGTGGAATTTTTTTTTTTTTTAAAAAGGCAAGGAAACATTTTTTAGTTATTTAGATACAAGCAATATTATTTGGATCTAAAAATTTAATCTAATTTGTTAATATAATGATGTGGTCTCATATGAATTATTAGATCAACACCAAATTTTAATGTTTGATGAGGTCTATAGTGAATTTAAAGATCATTGTGAATTAAATCAGCAAATTATGTCAGTAAATTAAGTTTCAATAACATTGAAGTTATCTTTTTAACCATAAATCAATCCACGTTGGCATTCGTTAGAAATTTTTTGGTGCAAATTTTGTTTAATACACACTCTAATATAATTTTAAATTTGCCCCTTCTAAATCATTTTGATGCACTTTGATCCACTTAATAATCTCAGATTTCTATTAAATCTGGAAACTCGCGCTTAAATAATATTTAGGTAGGTGAATCCCATCATCATGTTTTCAAAAAATCATCCAACGTTGCCCCCAATTGTATTTATTATTAATTCAATTTTGTTACCTTATTAATGCTAAAATTTGGCCCCACTTAGGTAATTTTCTAGCTTTGTCCTTGAGCGTTAGACACATTGTGCATTCTGCGCTATGTACATCCAATGGTTATCATAAAATTTTCCTATTCTTTCAACATTAATGTTAGATTGACCAAATTTAGAACTCAAATGACATGACAGTTGACTTGAGTTTCTTTGATTAGTGTTATGTCATTTGCGTCCCAATATAAACTTCAAATAATTAACTGCCATGTCATTTGGACTCTAAATTTGGTCCAAAAATTTAATCAGTGTAGCATTACTCTTCTTTCAAAGAATGTGTTTAGAGTATTAGTGATGTTGCTCCCCTTGTAACCTGTGTACCCTCAAATGGTATATTTATCTTTTGTGCTTCATTATATCTCATTTACATATTGATTGATATGAGTTCAGAAGGAGAGGTAGGGTAATAATTATTTCCTCTCCTCTTGCACAATTCTACCATAATTCTCTCCCTGCCAACAAAACTTAAACTCTTACAATTTTTAATAGAATGTTTTTTAATGGAGCCCCCACATTAGACTGAATCAAGTCAATGGGGCTAAAGACACAAGTACTAGTACAAAACTGAAAAGTCGAATAGTAATGCTTATTAACTTGACAAGCTTCCTAAAGTACAAAGTGCACATGCTTCAAAATTAGAAGAGACGGGTGACCAAGATGACAAACTCAGATGGAGATAACGATGACTTGAAGACTCTGGAGATAACGATGACTTGAAGACTCTGGATATAGCTCAAAATTAAATTATAAAGATTTTCTTCGTCTTTAGATCCTAAAACACACACAAAAAAAAGGATAAAAGGTAACATAACAATTAAGACCTCGTGTAGTTTTGCTAATAGACATGGAATTATAGGAAAATTTTGGAATGTATAAAACTAAGAGTAAAGCGATCGTAGGACTCAACTAAGTGTGCCCCAAACATGAGACCTTAAATGGGGGACCATTAGAAAGGACAATTTGAGAGGGAGTTACAAAATGATAAGCAGAGAGGATAATAGGTGAGCCGGTCTTGTGATTGGATATGCCAGAATCTATGATCCTAGGATTGCATGTGGAAGACATTAAGTATGCAGAAGTGATACCTAATCCGGCAATGGTAGCAGTAGAGGAAAATGGAATTTCCCGTTGTTGAGACATTAGTTGAGCATATTCCTTCAATGAGATAGTGATCCACTCTGGACGATGGTGCATGCTCAATCCCGTGAGATAACTTTGTCCCTACCAACAAATGCCTCCTTCTGTTCCATCCATTCTTAAGTGCCTTTTTGATCCCCTGCTGTATGAGTTTCCCCATATGACTTACTTTACTTTTTAGCATGCTGTTTCATTCCATTTGTATCATCCATCTCTTTAGTTAGCAATGCTCTTACTGGGTGAAAAGATCCACACCAATTATTGATCAAAACATATTTCTATCATTTTATGTTATGAAAGCTGAAATTCTTTCCCTGTTTCTGCATGCTGATTGCTGATGTTAAAAGTAAAATAGAACACTGGTTTAGCAAAGTTCACGTCTAATCCGCTTATATACCTTGCTTACTAATCTCATACACTCATAGGTTGATCGGTTTTCATTAGTTCTAGTGCATATTCCACTTGTCTCAGCTCATTCTTTACCATTGCTTTCTTTTATAGAATATGTATGCTGGAAATCTTTCTAAGATGAATGCTGGTGCCCTCGCCATAGCTGTACCAGGGCAACTTGCAGGCCTTTACACAGCATGGAAACAATATGGAAGGCTCCCATGGAAGAGGCTTGTATCACCTGCTGAGAATCTTGCTCGTAAGGGATTCAAAATTTCACCCTATCTCTTCAGACAAATGAGAATCACAGAATCATATATCAAGGCAGATAAGGGACTTCGTGAAATATATGCGCCTAGGGGGAACCTCTTGCAGTCCGGTCAGACGATCAGTAACAAGAACCTAGCAAATACGCTCTCTGAAATTTCAAAATATGGCATGGATGCCTTCTATAATGGATCAATTGGACGTAATTTGGTTACAGATATTAGGAAGGCTGGTGGGATAGTGACAATGGAGGACTTGCAGAGCTATCGAGTCAAATTTAGAGAACCAATCGTTGCAAATGTTTTTGGGTTTAAAGTATTTACTGTGCCGCCTCCTGCTTCCGGGGGTGCAGTATTGATACTTGTAAGTGCATCTCCTTAATTCCGACCAGCTTTCTCCCAGCTTTCTCCCAACTTTCTGTGTTTATAGTCTTTAAACAGGCTCCTATGACCCAGAATTGCTTGTACTGACACAGATGCTGAATATTCTTGCTCAATATAGTCGTTCTGGTCTTTCTGGCTCTCTTGGGGTACACCGTATAATTGAGGCTTTGAAACATGCACTTGCTATGAGGATGAATCTTGGTGATCCGGATTTTGTTGATGTTTGGAAGGTTCTATCTTCTATGATCTCTCCAAGTTTTGCAGCAAGGTTGAAGAACAGTATAAATGACAATAAGACGTTTGATTCTGATTATTATGGTAGCAAGTAAGCTGCTTTTTTAGCAATGATATTGATTATTGGGATTTATCACCTCTCCTGCTATGTTTTATTGGTTCCTCTTTTTTTTTTGGTAAATTTTCATGTTACTCATTGATCCATTTGTTTGAAAAAAATAGTATGTACTCCTTGCATCCACTTAGATATACAAATTGCTCGTGTGTCGTTGGTTCTATGTCCCTTGCATTTGGCAATGCTTTTTTTTTTTGTATATGTAGAGTTGTCATGATTATATGTCCATAGACATACACCTCCTTATGCCTCTTTATATGTCTATGCTTATTTTGTCTGGAGTCATAAAGATTTTTTTACCAAAGCCTGCCACATTATTTCTCTCAGTCAATTAAGTGAAAAAACAATGGCATTATCATGTACCATTCTTCAGTAATCAACTTTTTCCTATTGAATTTTCCTAGAAAATATCATCTAGATAAAAATGAAGAATCAAATTCTTTGGTGTTTTAATTGCTTTGTTATGCCATGATATCCTCTACTAATCAGTGTGTTCTCCTATACTTCCATTTTATTTACCTCCTACTAATCAGTTTCACTAAATTTTGGCTTCCTAATAGGTGGGATCAGGTCCATGATCATGGCACCACTAATTTATGCATAGTAGATCGTGAGCGAAATGTTGTTGCCATGACTACCAGTATAAACACTTTTTTTGGATCAAAATTTTTGTCACCAAGTACAGGGATAGTCCTTAACAATCAAATGAATGATTTCTCCATCCCTACTGCCACTGTTTCACGACCAGCACCAGCAAATTTTATCCATCCATCCAAAAGACCATTGTCAACTATGGCACCTACCATTATCCTGAAGGTAACTTGCTGAACTTTTGCTCATTCCTGTTCAAATTGCTTGAGTGAGGATGGTTCCTATTTCCAACGACAGATTTGTAGTTGATTACACTTCAATTACAAAGCTCACAGCGAAAGGAAAAATTACACAATATAATAAACTGCTCCTTTTTTTATTTGTTTATCTTTATTTGGTTTATTCTGCAGCAGGATTACAAATATTTAATTTAATTTGTATAAGTTTTTCTTTTTTAAGAGAAAAAAGAATTTTTATGGGTTGGTTTGGTTTCTCAGAAAACTAATTTGTTTGCTATTCTGTCAACTTTTCTTTTTTTTTTTTCGTTGTTAGAACATGCCATTGTAAAGGTTTTCATTCTTTTGGATATAGATCTTTTATTGGATCAGTGGAAATTAGTTACAAAAATTATGGTGGAACAGAATTGTAGTCAGTAAAAGTATGGTTCTAAGCACCTCAGGAGTATGGAGGAGGTGACTGACCTAGTCCAAAGTGATCCTACAAGTTAGGTTGCTGCAACCTTTTGTGCAGCCCCATTTGTAGCTCTTGGACTAAACCTGAACTGACTTGATCGTGCAAGTAAGGTTGCTGCTACACTTTCTGCAGCCTCATTTGTAGATCTTGGACTAAACCTGAATGGACTTACACTTTCAGAAACGCATTACAGCTTCTAAAATCTACTATCAATCTCCCATGGAGTATCTCCTTCATTAGCAAAAAGTGGTATATTGATTCCATGCTATCACTTTCTAAAGTCGCAGAGGGGAAGTCCAATGTTTTCATCATTAAACAGTCATCTCTCAATGATTCAGCTTTTTAGTAGAGTACATAAACCACCCTGATTACCCTTGATGTAGTACTATGATAACAAAAGCTGGCCTTCGAGTTTCTCATAAGATCAACCCAACTGCTGTCTGGTTTGATTTCTTTCCATAGGCCTCATCACACTTGAACTTTGCTTGATTCAATGGTGGGGGAAGCCAATTAATTGAATTACCCAAGGGTTGTTACAAAATATTTATTACTTGTCTCTTTTTGCCCTCTGTCAATATTATTGATTGGCAATTATAAATAGTGCCAAGAGAAGACTGTTATCCATTCTCTTGCATCTTGGTATTCCTCTTTCTACGAAATTGCAACATATGCCTTTGCAGGGTGGACGCTTGCGGGCTGTAATAGGCTCATCTGGAGGAATGGCAATACCTGATGCGGTAATACAGGTATTCTTGAATCATTTTATCAAGAAAATGGATCCACTGGCTGCTGTCATGACTCCAAGATTTTTTCACATGGTGATACTCCGAACCAATTTCTTTTACAGTTTTTCATAGACTTGCTTTTCTTCCTTCGCTTTAGCGTTCCAGTAACTCTAATTGATTTCTTAATTTGACACAATGTATGTGTTTTATGCAGTTATATCCTAATGTGCTGTATTATGAGAATTTCAAATCCATTTTTGGAGACCAGTATGAGGCTTCTGCACAGACAAGGGCAGCCCTACAAAAGAAGGGCCATACATTACGAAGCACTTATGATTGGACCATTTGCACATTTATAGTTCGAGAGTTCGATAATTCAAGTTCTGGTAAGCTTGTGGCGGTGAGTGACCCGAGAAAGGGTGGTTTTCCATCTGGTTACTGAATTAGTGGGTGGCTTATATGGTATTCAAGAAAATGATTATCATTAGATTGGGAAGACTAGAAAATATTATTTTTTCCAAACATTTTTCGTGTAATTCTAACCTAAAAAATAAGTGACAGAAACAGTTGGTGGTGCTAGCTAGAGTAGTTTGTATGTTCCAAAACTTTAAATTCCTGCCATTAATTTGTGTGATTTAACGTTTGGTAGTTTAGGGTTACCCCCATGGCCCCATTGTTGCAATCTAGCTTTTCAGGTTTTACTAGTGAGGGGGCATAGCCCATTTTTGTGACATAATGAACTAATGTAGATGCATTTTGTTAGAAATCTAAATTATTAAATTGTATTAAGCTGTATAATATTGAAATTTATTAAGCTGTATAACAAAAATCTTCAAGAAGTTGATGTCTCGATTATCAACTACAACACCAAGAGGGAGAGAAAATCATAACAGGATCATATTGTATGATTCAGAAGATTATTGCATCTTACAAAAGGCTCCCAAAAGGCCTTTAATCCTGTCTCTCTGACAAGCAATGCTAAAAGGACAGAAACAACAACAGCTGCAACTAAAATCTTTGTCAACAAATCATCAAACTGCTACAGAGCCCATTTCCAGAGAAGAATGTCTGCATTCATTTAGGGAGTCGCTCAGCCAGAAAGTCAAGTCAGGGTGGGCACAAATATTTTAACAAACTAATTTTTTTTTTACAATCAATAGAAATAGGACAATAATTTATAGTTAATTACATCATATTTAATACTTAAAAGTTCATTAAATCTAACATACCAAAATTTGGTAAACTTAGTATATACAAACGACACCAATTTTTTTTTTTTTTACAAAATATAGGCTAATTAAAATCATTCAGACTTGACTCCGGTAAATTTTCATACTTTGAAACCGTTGCTTAACAACTTTATTATTTTTTATATACACCATCATTTTATCACTTTGGTCTTTATATACATAACATGTCCAAAATGTGTCAAAAAAATTCATATTTATTTGATATAAGTGTACACTAATTGATGTGCCAAAAAAATAGGGTGGACATAATTAAAAATATTGAAGAAATACTTGAAATACATATAGGTAATGTTAAGAAAAAAACATTGAGGGTGGACATCTGGCCCCCTTCCCCCTGAGCATATGCTGGCTCCAGCCATGCTCTCTACTAAACTCATCAACGGTGTAAGGAACGACAAAAAAACCCAAGGAACTGAGAAATAAGCTTTACTCAATTTCTTCTAATTGGGCAACTGGGAGTGAGTGAGACAGAGAGGAAAAAAAAAAGATAACTAATAAGATAGGTGTTACTGATGTTTGTCAAGTAGGCCAAAAACGTTGTTTTTTAATGGTGGGCTAAAAAATTTAATTTTTTTAATAGGTTTGGATGTGTTGTGATAGGTCAAAGATTTAATTTTTTAATAAGTTTTGGTAGATAGTAGTTGACTCAAATTTTTTTATTTTAAATAGGCTTAATTTTTTAATTCTTTTGATTAAATAATGTGGGTCTAATATTTTTATCTTAGATTTTGGGTGGGCATAAATAATATATTATATAAATATATAATATATATACTTAACTAATTTTTTTTTTTTTTGGAGGGGGCACGTGGCCACCCTGGCCCTAACCTCCCTCCGCCCTTGGAGTCACTCATTAAAAATAAGCATGCTTTTTTTGCATTTTTTTGGTACAAACATCTATCATCTACAGCTACTTTCACCTGTTTTACTAATAAAACAACTGAGTAGCTAGAAGTCAATAGTCACGAACAGCTCTTATTCCATTTGACGCAAAGGGAGCCACTTAAACAATTAACATCTGGTACTAAAGATAGATGCCCAAAAGATTTTATTCAGTGGTCTCCAATTTAGCACTAGAGGAGAATGAGACATTCAAATCTACAATGGTAATAAAAAGATATTTAATGGTGCTGACCCAGAGATTTTCAAACTTCAAGAAAAACACCAACATGGGCATGGATCCTATCATTTCTGCGAGAATCAGGGTATCCCAAGAAATAGTAGTTATCAATGCTATCCAAACTATATAATCATACTATAAACTTAGTAAATGCTAATTAATTACTACAACAAATCTAAAATCTGTAAATACTGTTATATGTAACATATTTAATTAAAATAAAATGTTAAAACAAACTGTAATAATGCACTTACAGTGACGCAGAACAATAATAATAGAAATTAGAATCTAGAAAACCAGAAATAATTTGAGTCTTGTGGTGCACAATTTTTTTAAGATAGATTTACTTCCTTTCTGTGCTTAAAGTCGATAAGCAACTGCCTCCCAAGATGAAACGGGTTTCATTTCTAAAGAAGTAGCACTTCGATTTTCAAAATTTCAACGCACACAATTCTGTGTTTACACATGAACCAAACAAGAAATAACAATGCAGCAATATGCATAGAGAGAGAGAGAGAGAGACTGAACACAAAATTCAGAATTTGGGATGGATTGAAAAAGGCAGCGAGACAATCCATTTATAGACCCTTAGTGCCTGTTTTGAATTGTCTGAAGAGCCATGGGACACCATTGTTTGTTGAACCTATTCGGATCAAAGAGATACCTTTAATCTTGAACAATAACGAAAGGGAAAGACAACTCTAGAATGAACATACCCAATTTAATTTCGACGCCAATTTCAAATTTAACGGGCATACAAATTTTAAATCCAGTTGGATATTTAAATTTAAGTTGGAAGATCAATTGCGATGCGTGTTCGATCCGTTTGCTTTAACCCACAACTCACTCTACACCAAATGAATAGTGTCCAAAAACTTGGTCCCACTAATTTTGAGGTGTGAGTCCCACTTTAATTTAAGGCTTAAGTTGCCCAAAATATTATTTTTTAAAACCATTTTTTTCTAACAATCCCCCACATGAATGAAAATTCAGTGTATGAAAATGCAGACGCTAGTTCAGGTACAGTTGAAAGGCAACTGCATCGGGATAAGTAGTCTTGTAGCCTTGAACTTTCTATAGTGAAAGACTATCGGATTTACTTGACTAATCAATGAACTTTGATGTCTTTGTTTGTGTAAACCAAGACAATAGAATTCACACAGTTTCTTTTCAGACACAATTGGTTTTCACGTTTGTGTTCATTTTGGTGTTGAACATCACTTGGTTTCATGAGTAATTTAGAGTAATCAGTTTACGATTCTCATAGAAACGGCCTCTTCTTACTCACATAGGTGATTTTTGATTCCTTCTTGAATTTTTTCACGTCACAAAAATATCTTTAAAATCACAACTTATCTTAGTTCTCACGGTAGATATGCATTGTCTCATCATAGGAATGGAAAGGAGTTATGAACCTCCTCAGTGTGTCTCTGAGTTACACATAATTCGGTTGTCCCTCTAAACTTAGATCTTGGGATCTCCAATCAACTAAGTTGGGTCATTATGGTGACCCTTGGTTAATTAATAGGTTTTAAACTAATTCTCCTTGATGAACTTTCTACTTGCTCTCCAGTCAAAACTTTTGTAAGCAGATCTGTGATCTTATCCTTTGACTTTACATAGTCGATTGATATAATACCATTCGAGAGCAACTACTTAACGGTATTATGTTTACTATGTATGTGTCTGGACTGATCCTTATACATACAATTTTGTACCCTTCCAATCGTAGACTGGCTATCACAATGTATACATATTGTTGGCAAAGACTTTAACCAATTTGAAATATCCTCTAAGAAGTTGCGAAACCATTCTGATTCTTCTTCAGCTTTATCTAAAGCAATGAATTCAGATTCCATTGTAGATCTAAAAATACATGTTTGCGTTGAGGATTTCTAAGATACGACTATTCTACCCAAGGTAAAGATATATCCACTCATGAATTTTGAAACTTTAGTATTGAATACCTAGTTAGCATTGATATATCTCTCGAATACAACTGAGTATTTTGTGAAATGCAAATCATAGGTTTGGGTATGTTTTAAATATCCCAATACCCTAATTATTACTTTCAGTGGTCTTTTCCTAAATTATTTGTATATCAACTTAGCTTATTCATGGAATATGCTATATATGGAGGAGTACAATCCATGATGTACATTAAACCACCAATTATACGTGCATATTCTAATTGAGATATGATTTCATCATTATTCTTGGAGAGATGGATATTAATATCGATAAGTGTCCTCATAGGTTTTATCTTGTACTTTTTGAATTTATCAAGTATTTTATCAATATAGCGAGACTAAGATAAAATGAGTTCATTTGTCGTTCTAGACATTTTAATTTCTAATATAACGTTAGCAACACCTAGGTTTTTCATTTCAAACCTATTTGTCAACATTTGTTTGGTAGTTTTAATGACATTATTATTGTTGCCTAAAATTAGCATATCGTTTACAAAAAGACATAATAATTTATTCACTATGAGTGCTCTTGACATAAACATATATGTCACACTAATTTATTTTAAACTCATTTGACAATATTGCTTTGTCAAATTTCTCATGTCACTACTTCGGTGCTTATTTTAAACCATAAAAAATTTTAACAAGCTTGCATACTTTTCTTTCTTGTCCATTAGCAATGAACCCTTCAAGTTGTTCCACGTATATTTCTTCATCTATTTCACCATTTAAGAATGTTGTCTTTACAGCCATTTGCTATATCTCAAAACCACTCCAAGTAGCTATAATAATTAATATTCATATGGATGTTATTTTAGTAATTGATGAATAAGTGTCAAAATAACCCAATCATTCCCTTTGTTTATATCATTTGGTATAAGTTTAGCTTTGTACTTCTCAATGGATCTATTGGCTTTCATTTTTTTTTAAAGATCTATTTACAGCCTGAAGGTTTATTACCTGGTGGAAGATCCACCAATTTTCATGTATGATTTCTCACAATGGATTCAATTTTAGAATTAACTACTTCCTCCCAATAAAAAGCTTCGGGGGAGGACATAACTTCATTGAAATTTTGAGAATCATTCTCTAATAGGTAAGT